CCTCCCAAGTAGCTGGGATTACAGGTGCGCATTACCATGCCTGGCTAACTTAAAAAATTATTTTTGTAGAGACAGTATCTCCCTATGTTGCCCAGGTTGGTCTTGAACTCCCAGGTTCAAGTGATCCTCCTGTCTGGGCCTCCCAAAGTGCTGGGATTACAGGTGTGAGCCACCATGCCCAGCCTCAAGTTAACAATTTAATGTATATTTTATTTGCATTGTAAGAAATAATGATTGGCAGTCTCGTGATCAATAAATATTGAGTACCTACTACTAAAATGCAAGGCTGGCTGGAGACTGAGGCCCTCACACACAGGCTCTGCCTTCCAGGGGCTTTGGATCCATTTCAGCCCCTAAGATGGCAAATGAAAAGTTAAATAATACTGTAGGTCTGTATAAATGACTGAATGGTAGAAAGTAATGCTGGTCAGAAGAGAGAATGTTCTGGGGCCCTGGTTGTTGAAACAGGATAAAGGGGGACAGATTTGTCTGTATCTTGAAATTGGATTTGCTTATGTGGGGGTAGTGGAGGTGGGCAGGAAAATCACGTGGGGAGTGCTGACCAGCCTGGTTGTGGTAGAGGGTTTGTGCTGGGAAGGAGGGAGGGCTATCCTGTGTATTAGTCCATTCTTGTATTGCTATAAAGACATATCTGAGACTGGATAATTTATAAGAAAAGAAGATTCTGCAGGCTGTTCAGGAAGCATGGCAGCATCTGCTTCTGGAGAGGCCCTGGGAAGCTTCCAATCATGGCAGAAGGCAAAGGAGGAACAGACACTTTTAAACACCCAGATCTCTTGAGAACTCAGTCACCATCATTAGGACCGTACTAAGCGTGTACTAAACCATTCATGAGAAGTCCGGCCCCATGATCCAATCACCTCCCACCAGGTCCCGTCTCCACAGGAGATTACAACAGAACATGAGATGTGGGTAGAGACCCGTATCCAAACTATATCACCCTGGAATTTTAAGTAGGGACTGGATTGAGTTTGAGGGAGATGGATCTGTAATGTATTCTGTAGGCAGTGGGGATTGCTGATGGTACACCAGAGTGACAGGATCAAGTCTAAAAATTCAGATAGTAACTGCTGGAGCTTTGTGAGACTAATCAGATGAAGGAAAGATGGGTGTCAAGGAGTCAGGTTATTTGATACTTGGGGTAAGAGGCAGAGAGAGCCAGAATGAAGCTGCTTATGAAAGGATCAGGAAAGAATAGATAGATGTGGAAGCAGCAATACAGGAGAATTATTGCCAGGCAATATTGTCAGGCAGTAGATTGGATTTGGGACTCAGGAGGAGGAGAGTATGATTTGTTAGTCTTGAGGTTTTTAGAGTCGGGTGACTGGGGAATCCAGCAACATGGATAGAAATGACCATGTCAGGAGGAGGAGCTGGTTTGGAAGAAAACGTGATGAGTTTAGTTAAGTATGTTGGCTTTGAGATTGGGCCAGACATGCCCGTGTCAGTGCCAGGTAGAGGGCTGAGGCTCAAGAGGTTGGCAGGGATTAGAGATATGGATTAGGAGCTTCCCAGTGGCTGGAGAGAAGAGGGCAGGAGTGGCCTCTGCAGACCTGGATTTAAGTGCTGAATTGGCTGCTTCCCAGCTGAGTGGCCTTCTGTAATTTGCACAGACTCTTTGAGCTTCAGCTTTCTTATCCATAAAAAATACTAACATCTCTGCAGGGTGCGGTGGCCCCCACTTATAATGTCAGTACTTTGGGAGGCTGAGGCAGGAGGATTGTTTGAGCCCAGGAGTGTGAGACCAGCCTAGGCAATATAGTGAGACCCTATCTCTACAAAAATTCTTAAAAAGCCAGGTGTGGTGGCACCCCGCCTGTGGTCCTAGCTACTTAGGAGGCTGAGGTGGGAGGATGGCTTGAGCCCAGGAGGTGGATGTTGCAGTGACCTGATATCATGCCACCACAGTCCAACCTGGGTGACAGAGTGAGATCCCATTGCAAAGAAAAAAAAAAAAAAAAGAATAGTAACATGCAGCAGTGACTCACACCTATAATCACAGCACTTTGGGAGGCTGAGGCAGGAGGATTGTTTGAGTTTAGGAGTTCAAGACCAGCCTGGGCAATATAATAAGACTCTATCTCTACAAAAAAATTAGCCAGATGTGATGGCACATACCTGTGGTCCCAGCTACTCAGGAGGCTGAGGTAGGAGGATCACTTGAGCCTGGGATGTCAACGCTGCAGTGAGCTATGATTATGCCACTGCATTCCAGCCTGGGTGACAGAGTCAGACCCTGTCTCAAAAAAAAAAAAAAAAAAACAATCTCTATCATCTTCCTCACTTTGTCTTCCAGAATTATGTCAAATCACTTGATGGCCTATAAAAAAGATAGAAATGCTTACTATTAATGTTTGTTTTCTTAGAAGTGTTAGTTGGGTCAGGGAGATAAAGTCCTTGATGTGAGAAAAGGCAAAGAAGAACCTAGGGCTGAAGTCCAAACCCCCGTCAAGTACACATTTAAGAGAAAATCAGGATCTTGAAACATCACAGAGGCCAAGGGAGGAGAGAATTCTAAGCAGAATGTCTTTAGGCCTGAAGGCAGAAATGTTCTTTGTAGTGGGTCGGTCAAGGAGAAAAAGACATTGCAGAAGCGGGTGGCCCTCCTTGGGGCTGCTTCTGTAGCAATTGTTCATTGCATTGGATCAAGGAGGAAATTATTTGTACCAGAATGTTTTGTTAGTGATTCAGACAGTTGAAGCTGTCTAAATGTGGGCTGCAATGAACAGCATAATACAACCCTGAAAACCATTGGAAACCATCAGTGTTAGCTATAAATAAATCTGGGTTTCCACTTAATAAAGCTATAATTTAAAATTATTATAATATTAAATTAGAAAACATGGCTTTTTCAGATCTTGTGTAGGCGGCTCCCAGCATCTGTCAGCCAGCAATCAATTAGAATGAAATCAGTTGGTCCAAAACTAACTTGTTGATGTCAGTTTGAGATATTGTTTGTATCAAACTATGAAGCCATATTTCAAGTAACATAATAGAAAACATGGACAAACTCCAGCACAGGCCTGTGCATGAATAGAAATGAAAATTAAATTGTCCAGTTTTCTCTTGCTGATTGAAGAATCTCTGTTCTGATTGAATGGGAGATTATAGGCCGTGAAGTCAAGCACCGTAACATTTACTTTTATTATGCCATATATTGTAGTTCCCACTGCATGGCAGGATTTATTGTTACACTTCAATGCTACCGAGATTTTCAGTTCCTTTCCCACGAAAGCACATAGCAACAGGCCTTCAGATAGGAAGCCTACTATGAAGTATGCCACCTGTTTTCAACTAATTGACTTAGAGAAAGCCCTTATCATTCCTCCTCAGTTGCCTAGCGTCATTGTTGGAACTGTTGTTTTTTTTCCAACCAATCCAAATCTCAATCTATTCCCACTTCCATCTCTTTATGTAGATCCCACCCCACCTTCACTTGAGTAGAGTGAAGATTTCTTCTCTGTCTTTTCAACTTGACACACAAAACACACTTCACACTATAGTCAGTTTTGGGGGCCAAGCATTCCTCGCTTTAAAGTCAACGGACTTGGGATGTGGAAGTGGTTTGAAAGGTATCAAGGCTAACTTCCATTCGTGCTCAGATCTCTCACAGATACCTGGGGCCTATGGTTCATTTGAACCAGGAAACATGGAAGTACTTGCCTGTGACCTAGGAATACTATTAAGAGCTGGTCAATTTGAGGTTCCAGAAAGGTTCTCAAAGGGAATTGTAGTGATAGTTGCACAACTCTAAATTTACTAAAATTATTGAGTTGTACACATAATATGGGTGGACTTTATGATATGTATGAATTATACTCAGCAAAACTATTAAAAAGGAAAAAAAAGAGCTAATTGGAATTTTCCTAACACTCACATTGAGGTCCCAGTGTTAAAATAGATAAGCACACCACTGATCTGTAAATATGGGATTCAAAGTGCTCCTTTGTCCCCCACTTTTTTTTTTTTTTTTTTTTTGAGAGACCAGGTCTCATTCTGTCGCCCAGGCTAGGGTGCAGTGGTGTGATCTTGGCTCACTGTAGCTTCCCTCCGCCTCCTGCATTCAAGTGATTCTCCTACCTCAGCTTCTTTTTTTTTTTTTTTTTTTTTTTTTTTTTTTTCCTCAGCTTCTTGAGTAACTGGGACTACAGGAGCATGCCATCATGCCCGGCTAATTTTTGTATTTTTTGGTAAAGATGGGGTTTCACCATGTTGGCCAGGCTGATTTCGAACTCCTGAGCTCAAGTGATCTACCTGCCTCAGCCTCCCAAAGTGCTGGAATTACAGGCGTGAGCTACGGTGCCAGGCCTCCTTTGCCCCACTTTATAAAATAGTTGTGATTATTTAGAGTAACAACTACTACATTGATGTTTCTGTATCGTCTGTAAACCAATCTTTTATTTATAAAATTTTGTTTTAGATGTGTTAAGAAAGCTCTTTAGGCTGGGCGTGGTGACTCATGCCTGTAATCCTAGCACTTTGGGAGGCCAAAGTGGGGTGGATCACCTGAGGTCAGGAGTTCGAGACCAGCCTGGCCAACATGGTGAAACCCCGTCTCTACTGAGAATACAAAATTAAAAAAAAAAAATTAGCTGGGTGTGATGGTGGGTGCCTGTAATCCCAGCTACCCGGGAGGCTTAGGCAGGAGAATCGCTTAAACCTGGAAGGCGGAGATTGCCGAGATCACGCCACTGCACTCCAGCCTGGGCAACAAGAGTGAAACTCCATCTCAAAAAAAAAAATGGCCATGCATGGTGGCTCACACCTGTAAACCCAGCCCTTAGGGAGACCCAGGAATGTGGATCACCTGAGGTTGGGAGTTTGAGATGACCAGCCTGACCAACATGGAGAAACCCTGTCTCTACTAAAAATACAAAATTAACCAAGTGTGGTGGTGCATGCCTGTAATCCCAGCTACATGGGAGGCTGAGGCAGGAGTATTGCTTGAACCCGGGAGGCGGAGGTTGCAGTGAGCCAGGATCACACCATTGCACTCCAGCCTGGGCAAAAAGAGGGAAACTCCATCTCAAAAAATAAAAATAAAGCTCTACAAAAGCTAGTAATCATTTTGTAATGTAAAACGTCCCCTTAGGGTGTTAAATGCACATACTTTTTACACCATTTTAAAAAATCAAGTCCTACCTGGACATTGATCTGTAGCTGATTACAACCCTGGTGATAAAATAATCCCAAAGTGTTTGAAAGGCTTAGGAGTGTTTTACAAGCATGTTTGGGGTAGAGCATGCCTTTTAAGTTTTTGTTCCTCTTTGAGGTACAGTCTGAGTACTGGAGCTGTGTGTGGAATATCCTCGTGCTTGAATCATTCCACTAATACAGCGGAGAAAAAACATTCCCCCTTCATCTCCCCTCGTCCATCATCTGAGGTTCTAGTGTTGAAGTAAGAGCAGTGAAAGCAAGCAAGAGTAAGGAAAGTAAGAACTAATATTCACTGGGTGCTCACTAAATGTTTTGTCTAGTTTTTCCTCACCATCCATAGCCCTGTGAGGGAGGTGTAATGATTCATGTTTTTACAATGAAGGATCAGAGAAGAAAGCAAGCTGGGGAAACTGAGCAAGATCATCTGGCTAGTAAGAAATTGGAGTTGAAGCCAGGTCTCCCTGACCCATGAGCCCAAACTTTCAGTGCATGGGATAGGTCTACATTAGCATTTCTTAACTGCTCTCTCCAAGGAGGTATTTGGCAATGTCTGGAGACTTTTTGGCTGTCACATTGTGGGGATGGGGTTGGGGTGGGGGTGGAAATGCTGCCTGGTATCTAGTGGGGATAGGCCAAAGATGCTGTTAACCATCCTCCAGTGCACAGGACAGCCCCCACAGACAACAAAGAATGACCCGTCCCAAATGTCAATAGCACTGAGGCCAAGAGAGCCCAGTCTGTGTTAAGAACGGGAAGAGGACAGGCCTCCCCCGCAAGTGCAACTTGTTCTTCCGTAGAGTGGCCTATCTCATTTCCTGAGAATCTCTATAAAACCTAGTTTGAAAATAATTTCAGAGCTTTGGAAAACCAGAGACTTCATATACAAAAAAGAAATTATATTTGAAATAATTAACTTAAACATCAACCAAGGACATGGCTGTGACCTTCGTGTGTGTGTGTGTGTGTGTGTGTGTGTGAGACAGAGAGAGAGAGAGAGAGAGAGAGAGAGAGAGAGAGAGAGACAGAGACACAGGGGGGATCTTAAGGCTTGCAGCAAGTGGAATGATACCATTTGAGTCTTTAAGTCTGATTTCAAATAGAGTGTTGGATTTGGGATTAGATATTTGCCAAAGATCAACTACTCAGTGTTTAAACGGGTATTACATAAAAAGACAATAACAAATTTGATCAGTACTAAGTTCTAAATCTGTGCTCTGTATAGTAAAATTATACGGGAGAGAGAGAGAGAGAACAATTTTAATAGTGACCATGAACACAAAACTTTTGTGATTGTGATGCCAAATCTCTATAAACAAGTGATTGCATTCTTACCTTATTTTGCAATTTCTACCTTTTATGATAAGAAATCACTTCTAGGGGTTTCTTATACAAATTTTGAGGAAAAACTCAGATCCCCTGACTTGGGGCTATTGGTTTTTCTGCACTCTTTTTAAAACACTTATTTAAAACTTCCCCTTTTGGAGCCAGAGAGCCAGTTATTGGTCCTTGCAGCATGTCAGATTGTTAAGCAATTTCTCAGGTTCAATAAGACAAGATATAGTGTGTCCTGCTTCCTATAAAAAAAAAAAAAAGAAAAAACCACGAGTGTCGTTTGGAGTGTTCCACATTGACGACTGGCTGAGTGTGTGTGTAAACAACAGCTGCACCTTCCAGCTCTCTCAGGGTTAGACATTCAAACATACGAACTTTCATTCAAGAGCCATGGCTGGCTCCTATAGACACTGTCTCCTTACTGGCAACCTTCAGACACAGCCCTTGGGACCAAGGATGTGGTTGACATTACCCACGCTGAAGAACAGGAGATACGGTTGCTACTGGTCTGCAGTCAAGTCTGCATATGATGGGCTAGGGTGCCCGTGTGTGGATGTGTGCAGCTCCGGTCCGTATCCAGGGACACAAATCATGATCAAAGTTAAATTTTTATCGGGAGTAGCTGAAAAGCACTATACATTTCTCAAGTGTGGTGACAAAAAGCAAAAGAGATTGTGCTGAGGATCAAATACTTTATGCAAAGGAAGTGAAACAGGTTGCATTTCTAATTGATGGGTTTTAACCCAGGCAGTCCTCTGGGCATATTTGGTTCCCTTGTCGAATTTACAGAGGCATAGTTAATTCAGAACAGTATCTGTGGCTGGCCCTCTCCCTGCATCGCCCTTGAGCCCTCCCCTGGTTCCCAGCCTCTCAGGCTCACAGTGGAGGTGTGCTGCTGAGGAAACAAGGTCAAGCTGGCAGCCAGCACTCATTTTGAAAGCCATCCTCCAGTCCTACAGGAGATGGTCCTTCAGGGCCCTTTGAAGGGCGGGCCTGGTCCTGGCTGTAAATTGAGTGTCTCCACTTAGACCTTCTCAGTGAAAGATGTTGGTCCTCATCAGAACTGAGGTACTCACCTCTGCCTGTGCGCCCTGCACAGAGTGGTCCTGCTGGCCTTTGGTGGTCCATTGCAGTGGCTGGGTTTGTGCTTAGTTATGAGGGGTTCCACGAACATCTTTCACCCTATCACATCCCGTAAGCACCAGTTCAATAAACATTGAAAATGCCAGTAGGAAAAGCCTCACAAATGCTGTACAAACAGGGGAAGGTTAAGTCAAAGTGGGGACATGATGGCAAATGTTGCAGAACCTCATTGGAGCAGTGCATTCGGTGGTATGTATTATTCCAGAATACAGAGAGCAAATTGGTGCTGTCCTACCCAAGTGCTCTATACCCACCAGCCTGCAAAATAGCTGACCTGAGAGAAGTAGAGTGACATTTAGGGAGCATCAATTCAGATGGCTCTTGGCTTGGAGAGGGTCACAGAGCCTAGTAGCTTTGTGGACTTGCAGGCAGCCCCAAAAGCTCACCTATATGCAAAGTCAGCATGGCCTCCCTCCCCTAGTATTGTGATCAGCTGCATCTCTGTGGCCAGGGCTCTTGCTCGTCATTCAGTCTGATGTCTGAGTGGTTCTACCTTTTCTACATGCTGAGACCATATTCTAGTGCTGTATTCTGGAGGTACTGGGTGTACCTCCAGATTTAACAATGCAAATCTGGAGGTACACCCAGTAGATTCAAAGTATTCTCATAGAACAAAGAGACTTGTATAGTAACCTTTGCTGCATCCACAGTATACTCCACAGAGGCCTCTGAGCTAAAAATGAATGCAGAAGCAAGAAGGGAACAGGTGATGTTCAGCTTTCAGATCCCACATGACATTTATTTGGCTTGGGGTGCCCCCTTCCCCCCATTCCCTGGCTGTGGGCTCATGGATTGGAAGAGCCTGGTTATGGCTTCCATTTTACTTCCATTTTCCAATATCCAGAGGAATGTACAAGCTACCAGAAAATCATGCTCAGGCATCCCTTTGTCACATTAAAAGCATTATGGACACATGACATTTTATTAAGTATTTTGTTTTAGTATTACTTTATTATGTAAATTATCAAAATCCTTATTTAGCCATGGACTCTTATTAAAGCATGGTCTTGGAAACCTTGGCCAAGGTTAAGAGCCTGCAAAGTTTGATTCATTACAAAAGAAAAATGATTAGCAGTTAGAGAGTGACATTGATGGGCCCCATTAAAAGATCATTGGATTTAGTGGTGGCAAGCGAAGGTTGGAGTTCGAGGTTAGCAGGATGCCCTGATTAGAACCAAGCTTACCTTTGTGTAACCTGTAGTGACACTCTCTTCGTCTCCCCAGGCTGATTCATGTCTCCCTGAAGTTCATACTGTTTGGAATTTCACAGACTCATTTACCAAAAAAAAAAAAAGGCATTTAATTTGGGAGACTGCTTGATTTTTCTTTTATTAATGATGCACATTCAGAAATAAACAAATGCCATCTCCTATTGGAAAGGGTATAATCTCCAAGTGTAAAATTGAACACATTTAGCTTAATGGGAAACTCACAATGTTGATCTGTTTCTCGGTGCATTATGACTGGTGATAACCTTGGCATGGACACATGCCAGTTCTTGGCAACTTTTGAAAACCACAGGTCCAGCTCATATCTGCAGAGATAGAAGGTGGCAGGAAGGAGAAATGTTGGGGGCAAGGAAAAGGCCCTAGAGAGAGTCAGGTGTTGAAGCCGTAGCTCAGGTAAAAACTTAGTGTCCAGAAATGTACAATTAGCAGATTAACTTTTTTTGATAGAGATAGGATTACTTGTAATTTTTTTCCTAAGAAAAAGTCGTGGAGTGTCAGATTTTTAAGAGCACTTTAAATCCTTTTTACCTCAGTCTTCTCCCTTCTCCTTATGTTTACAAATGAGAAATAGCTCATCGAGTTACCCAGGCTGCTGAATGGGAGCCTGCCAGCCCCTTCTAGCAGTTTTGGGGGACTGTTGTCCCTCCTGGGGTAGTAAAAAGCACACTAGGCTTTGAGTCAGGAGGTTTTTACTCCTCAAATTTTGTAGTCAGTGTAATTTTGGCTTCCATGTAATTCTGGACATTAGAATATTATTGTTTCACATATGCATTAAAGTTTTATATTATGAGTATCAGACTGCTCCTTTCTTTTTTTTTTTTTTTTTTTTTTTTTTGAGATAGGGTCTTGCTCTGTTGCCCAGGCTGAAGTGCAGCAGTGCATTCACAGCTCACTGCAGGTTCAACCTCCCAGGCTCAAGCAGTCCTTCTACCTCAGCCTCCCGTGTAGCAGGGACCACAGGTGTGCACCACCAAGCCCAGATATTTTTTCATTTTTTTGTAAAGATGGGTCTCACTGTGTTGCTCAGGCTGGTCTCAAACTCCCGGGCTCAAGCAATCCTCCCACCTCGGCCTCCCAAAGTACTGGAATTATAGGCAGGAGCCACTGCACCTGGCCTTGCTCCTCTTCTGTCTAGGTTAAGTGCTGTTAAAGAAGATGAAATTACCTTTACATCTTGCACTCCAAAAAGAAGTGTGCACTCTGCTCTGGCTGCTCATCCCACTGAAGTTGACCATCGAGCACACCATTGCACCTCCTTGGATCTTTCATAATTAATCTAGGGGTTTGGATGAAATGATTATGAAGAACCCAGTTCAGGCCAGGGCATGGGGTCTCATTCCTGTAATCCCAGCATTTTGGGAGGCTGGGGCAGGAGGAATTGCTTGAGGCTACCAGTTCGAGACCAGCTTGGGCAATATAGGGAAACTCTGTCTCTACAGAAAATTATAAAAGAAATAACCCAATGCAGCCTCACAGTCTATGTTTCTGTAACCCTGCCCATTTCTTTTAGCTGAGTTTTCTAGACATTGAGAAAACTGCTGGCTTGGTAGCCTCTGAATCCTCTTTGAAATTAAGTAGCTTATTCTTTCCTTTGGCTCTTCAGTATCTTTAGTTCTGTTCTTTTAATCTAGAATGGATAATTTGGCCCCTTCTACGGTCTAATATAGGTGTTTTTTTGTTGTTGTTTTTTGTTTTTGGTTTTTTTTTTTTTGCTTTTAAATGATTTGATGGCTATATGGAGATTTAAGAAATTGTTAAGAGGTTATGAGTATAACTTTGATTTTTTAAAATTTTTAGTGATGGGGTCTCACTATGTTGTCCAAGCTGGACTTGAACTCCTGGGCTCAAGTGATTCTCCCACCTTAGCCTCCTGACTAGCTGTGATTGTAGGCACGCTACTGCACCTGGCTCATGAGCATAACTTTTTGTAAAGTTTTAAAAAGTACTCATTCATCTTTTAAAAGAATTCTTTTGATTTTTTAATGCAAGTTATTACAGGGAAATGTAAAAGAATAGGATGTTTGCCATCCTAAGTAAGTTTGAGATCCTAGAGCAAACCCTGACATAGATGCAAGTTCCAGGTTGCAAGTTCTGTTTTCAAATCAGTTGGTTAGTAATTCTTTGCTTCCAGTGACATTGAAGGAGGTACCCAGTAAGTTGTTTGATGGTAGACTTTTAAAAATAATAATTCCTGGTGATGCTAGACTGTGGTCTAATTTTTGGTGTATAATTTGCAAGGAGTTCAGAAAATTGAGTGACATTGATGACAAAATTATTTCCACTCTGGTCAGGCGCAGTGGCTTATGCCTATAATCTGAGCACTTTGGAGGCTGAGGTGGGCAGATCACAAGGTCAGGAGTTCGAGACCAGCCCAGCCAATATGGTGAAACCCTGTCTCTACTAAAAATGCAAAAATTGGCCAGGTGTGGTGGTGGGCGCCTGTAGTCCCAGCTACTTGGGAGGCTGAGGCAGGAGAATCACTTGAACCCAGGAGGTGGAGGTTGCAGTGAGCCAATATCACACCACTGCACTCCATTCGGGGCAACAGAGTGAGACTTTATCTCAAAAAAAAAAAAAAAAGAAAAAAAAATATATATATATGTTTTCATCTCAGTTACTTTTTTGGGTTTTTTTTTTTGACGCAAAGTCTCACTGTGTTGCCCAGGCTGGAGTGCAGTGGCACTGTCTCGGCTCACTGCAACCTCTGCCTCCCGAGTTCAAACGATTCTCCTGTCTTAGCCTCCAGAGCAGCTGGGATTACAGGCCTGCACCACCACACCCAGCTAATTTGTTTTGTAGTTTTAGTAGAGACAGGGTTTCACCATGTTGGCCAGGCTGATCTTGAACTCCTGACTTCAAGCGATCCACCCACCTTGGCCTCCCAAAGTGCTGGGATTACAGGCATGAGCCACCACAGCTGGCCTCCATTCCATCTACTTCTATTTAAGTGAACAAATTTTTTTGGCACTTGTGTCTCTAAAATGAAAAATAGAGAGTTGATACCAAACCATCTCTTTCTGGTATTAATAATCATACACACATGAAGTGTTCGGGGGAAAAGCCAAATAAAATTGTTTTGTCATGCTTAAAAATTATTTATCAAAATGTGTGGTATGTGTGTATACTTATGTTCTGATCATTTGTATACTAATAATAATTGTAATGAGAACTCAATCCAGAAGAAAAATAATTTTTACACTTAGAGCCTTATGATTTCAGGAAAGAAAAAGTCTTAAGTTTCAATTTCTATACATGTTTTTACAATAGAAAGATGACAAAATAATTAACAACAGACTTGAAAATACATTAGGATAAAATTCAGCAGTAGATGTTGGAAATACGAATTTAAGGAGGAAAAGAAATTATGTAAAATTTCCAACTGTTAAAATCTAATGATATTTTTAAATGGATGATGATGGTGGTTAAATTGCTGCAGTGTTCAAATATATATTGGATATATTTAAGAAATCTATATAAGTTATATTTTAAAATCTCAATATTTAGAATATGACGGAAATTACATCCCTTGTGAGTAAAACTTACATAAAAGTTTAGATTTCAACTTGTTATGTGTGAGGAGGCTATATGAGGGTTTCCAAAATTATTTTAGAAAGTATACTGGCTTCATAAATATATCATTTTATACTTGCACAAACATTTCTATGGATTAATTTCTAGAAGTGACATTGATATATCTGAAGGTGTACACATTTACATTTTGTAATAGGTATTGCCAAATGGCATGCAGAAAGGTTGTGCCAATTTATGTTCCTGTGGATAATAATGTAACCACTGTTTCCAGTAGAGAATTAGATTATGTATCAGATCACTTTGCATAGCAAATATGGGCCTGTAGTGAGCAATTTTTAAAGGAATGCTATTTGTGGAGACCACTTTTCCCCACTTAACATTGCTTGTCATCAGTCCGAGTGAATCACTACCTCTCCTCGAAGCAAGACTGCAGTAAGATATGTCCCCTTTCCCTGATCTAAATTAGGTCCCCATGCTATCATTGGTAATTTCACATTTTTTTTTTTTTTTTTTTTTTTTTTGAGGCAGAGTCTCACTCTGTCACCCAGGCGGGAGTGCAGTGACGCGACGACGGCTCACTGCAACCTCTGCCTCCGTGGTTCAAGCACTTGTCCTCCCTTAGCCTCCTGAGTAGCTAGGATTACAGGTGCACACTACCATCCCCAGCTTTTTTTCTGTATTTTTAGTAGAGATGCGGTTTCACCATGTTGGTCAGGCTGATCTCGGATTCTTGACCTTGTGATCTGCCCGCCTTGGCCTCCCAAAGTGCTGGGATTATAGGCGTGAGCCACCACGCCTGGCCTAATTTCATCTTTTATTATTCTTTCATAGTAAGTAGCAGAACTTGTAATTATACAAACAAAAAGCATGTGTCCCTCAGTGGGTTCTTAGCTCCATGTGGGCAGAGAATGTGACTGTTTTCCACCCCTGTATCCCCTTTGCCTAACCCAGTGCCTGGCTCATAGTGTATGCTCAGTAAATAGCCACTGAATGAATGGGCTGAGCATAAGTGAGGAGAAATACCAAGATGCAGGATCATAATATACAGTCTTCATTGCCACTAGCCATGTGTGACTATTTAAATTTAATTAAATAGCTGTACTCATCCATAATCCATGCACTCTGTAGCCATGTGGGGCTAGTGGCTACCATTTGAATAGTCCAGATTATAGAAGACTTCAGTCATCACAGCAAGTTCTACTGGACAGTGCTGATATAGGATGATTGTAAGTTCATTCTCAAAACTATCCCTATGCTTGGCACAAAGTAAATAATAAATGTTTGATTAAATTAATGAGCAAATAAACATTGTATCTCCCGCTCTTATTCTTGAGCGACACATTTTGATGTAGAAGTTGCTTGTATCGAATAGCCAAACATTCTGTTAACTTGCCTAACACCTTATGTTTCTTGCCACAGAGTGCCTTGAAGAAGCCCTTTTTCCTGCCCATTTCAAAACACATTTGAATAAAATAAAAATAAAAAAAAAAACAAGCAACATTCTGTAGTGGAAAGAATCCCTTGGATAGGAATCTGTGTGCGGGCCCTGTTACTTGTTGGTAGTGACCTTGGGCACGTT